GGAAATTCCGGATACTATTATTTTGCTTGTCGTATTATAGGAGAATTTACGGTAACTAGCGGTATTTACCGGTAACTTGCGGTATTTACCGGTAACTTGCGGTAGACTGCGTACAGAGTACCGGAAAATAATGCGGTATCGCCCGCGCATTTTGAATGGCTGCATCTATATAATCACTTTCACTAGACTTACCAGTCTCTGAATGACCATATCCAAAATATTGTCCTTTAGTCATGTTTCAGTAAAAATAAAGACGCAGCACTTGCTGAGCAGCCCATTGCAATCTTAGGTAGTCCAGCTTGTTCTCCAGAGAACAGACATTGGAAAGAAAAATTGATGGGAGAGCCAGTCTGTTAGGGTTAGCTTTTAGCCTGCAACAGCTTTTAGCCCTCTTGCCTCATTCCTGTTTTCTTAAACTCCACTTTCAGTGCCTCCTCATTGAGACACCTGCAACAGGTTGCGCCGCTGTCCCGGGACCTTTTCCTCCCAGTAAGCCAAGGCTACTTAGCTTCTCCGTCAGAATACTAGTGGGTAGTCCTTGCGTCATTTTTCAATTTCCGGCACGGTCAGGTGATCGTAAATGTTTGAAAAATTGGACAAGAGACAACACTTAACACTAGTAAAACATTTTGCACCATTTTTTCCAGACCCGGATCAGCTGCTGGGTCCGTGCGCACCGCCATCTTAGTCATTTCAAGACAAAACCATGTACGACCTAAAAGTACTCGCCTTACGACTTTTCCTGTGCATCATCACCCTAGGTTTCTAAAAATACCTTGTTGATCTCACCCTGAGACTTTGGTGATGCAATCCAATTCTAAAACTATACAACCATTCCAGCTTGATGAAACTTTTTATTGAGGAAACCAATAAAAAACAACTGTATTAGATTCCTCAATATATCTTGTACTAACGCATACCCTTTATCTCTGGAGTGTCTCTAAGCTGCCCTCTAGTGGTCTTCAGCACGCACTGACACCCCCCAGATCCAGCTTATCCACTACATATGCTATAATACAAAATCTCACTGATTCATTGCGTACCTTTGTTTAAGCAATGCCCAAGAAAGTGCTTAGCAGATGTATATTCTATTTGAATATGATTATGTCGTTTAATGTTTATAAAACAGGGTTGGTTTGTGTGATAAGTCATCAGCAGTTGTCCGTTTAAGAAGACACAAATGTATGGATTTGGTGGTTCTGCAATGTCTCTGTACCAGACCGTGAAAAGAGAAGGAAGAATTCTCCTCCTTAGGAAGGGCTATAGGTATAGAACACTTCCATTCCACCGGCATATGTTCACCTAGCACATGGCAGGGAGAGGGCAGGTGATGTAGCTGGCTTTCATAGCTGAGTGGCTGTTGGTAACGGATGACCTAGAGTGGCGGCCTGAATGCTATCTGTGAGAGTGTGAGAATTCAACAGGTTGGAAAACACCATAGTCTACCCAGAAGGGGAACAACATGGTGAGATCTTGAAGCCTGGAGACAATTTGACAGAACAGTGTTTTTAAATTGTATCCGTTCTTTTGTACTGCCTTGTTATACCCAGGTGAATGGAATAGGTGTGACTGAGGACCAAAGAACCAGAAGTGCAACTGACCCCAGCTGTGAAAAGAAAGAGTGCCAGGGGGTGTCTGTGTAGTTTGTTGCTATCTGGCAATGAATTGTGTCTGGGAGGCTAGACTACAGGGTCAGAGAAGGATCCCGGCAGGGAAAAGTACAAGTCAGGAAGTAACTGTGACTGTAAACTATGATGATTTTTGTACAGTAGTTACATGTCCATTCCTGGCTCTCTCACTTTCCTGGCACAGGGTGTTTAGGATGCCCGCATTCATACATCACAGCTGCCTCTGCTTCTCTCACTTGCCTGATGAGTAGAGAAACAAGTGGCAGAGTTTTAAAAGAAAATTGTGAGTGAAGTTTTTGGAACTGTGAAGTGTGTAATGTGAACACAAGTGTAGTGAGTTGTAGGGTAAAAAAGACCTGTTACAGGGTGTTATTTATATTAATATTTGCCATGTATATACATTTTGATTTCTATATTTTGTATTCGTACTGTATACAGTATCATTAAACTAAAACAAAATGTGTATTTTTATTTTATTTAATGTAATATCCTAAGAACAAAAAAAATATTTGTAACTACAATCTGTAAATTAATTTCTTTATCCTAGCACATTACATGTAATTACCATTCAAGCTTAAAAATGTCTGTGTATAGCAGTAATTATTGGCCAAATATTAAATGATAACCTCTTATATGTGAGTATGTGATGCATAGATTTATTAATAGAATGGCAGATCACAACATCCTTAGATAGTAGGCCATGCCACTTGGTTTCAAGGATTGTCCGTGACTAAACCATCTGCTTTTCTCAGTGGTCCCTTTCATTATCACTGGTCTTCCTCCATATGCAGAATGCCAGTTGAGGAGTCATCCTTCTCATTTTTGAGTGTATTCATTTGTCAAGCTCAAGTTTCAAACATGAAGCAAATGCTCTAAAGCCACATATAAGCACATTATACTACTGAATAAAGTGAGAACAACAAAATATAATTTTATTATTGCTGAGCAGAGAGTATATGAAGGTAAGTTAAATTTCTAAAGTTAATTTCTAATTTATCCACCAAATGCAGTATGCATGAAAGTGTGAAGGACTAGATTTCAAGACAAAATTAGTTTGTATTCATATATCTTGACAAATGTTATGCTCATTCTTATCTGTTAATGTGATAATCAGCTTGAAAATATTTTAAATAAAACTGACTTCTTTTTACAGAATCCTGATACAAATGGCAACTTGAGAAAAAGAATGAACTACATGACTCAACCAGATTCTAACAGTGACCAAAGAACTGATGCTGGCAGCAATAACAAAGGGGGAGTTTCAAAACAATCCTTAGTGGGCCAAGTACCTTCAGCAGCATTGTCCTCTATGTGTCATTCAAGTCCCAATCCTTTCAGTCACTCAAATATAACCTCAGCTACACTGTTATCAAGAATCACTCCACCGGCACCACCCTCAACTCCAACTGCATCAACTCGTATCACAACTAATGTTTTTGTGGGATCTGCCTCTATACAGCAATTGCTTGGGCCCAAACTTGAGCACATTCAAATGGCTGGAGACAAAATGGAGTTTAATCTAAAACAGGCATCACCAACCCCCGCAGCTCCTGCTTCTACTCCTACTGCATCTGGAACAAGTAAAATCGACAAGTATGCACGTATTCTTTTCCCAGTTTCCTTTGGGGCTTTTAACATGGTTTACTGGGTAGTCTACTTATCAAAAGACACCATGGAGTCAACAGATGGATCAGCCTAATCTGGTGTTTGTCTTTTTCTATCATTGCAAAAAAGTAATAGTACTAACTGTAGGGGCTTATTTATCTAGTTTTTAAATGATGTCATCATTTTCCAATATTGATAGTACAGAAAAAGCTAAAAAATGAAAATTAAAACAATTACCTCAGGCACTGTATACAGAGAGTAAACATATAAAAAACATTCATGTGTTGTCAAAAAAGCTATTTCATAATGAGCATGTATAGAACAAAAGCATTCCAAATATATTAAATTGCATTAATTAAGCTTTGTGTTTTTGGTGGATGTATTTGGATGTTAGTGATAAATTATTTAATCCAGCAATATCAATTTGTTATTTTTATGTTACAAAGCATACATCCATTATTAAAAGACAAACTCATTGACTCTAATGTCTTATTAGCTGGAACAAAAGAATGATTTGCTCATCTTTCCTATCATTTTTGTGACCGATATGTGCTCTCAAAACACATTAGAAATCTATCATTTTCATGTTTTAACCATGTGCAATGCTTCCCCTTGGGTCTATAATAGGAATAGTATCAGTAAATGATAACTTGGTTCAGATGTTTGGGTTTTATTGGTCTTATGAGTCCCCTCCAAATATGTATAAAAATGTATACTGTAGATGTTTACTTTCTAGCTCAGTTTCTGCATTTGCTTTTGTATCCAGCATTACCTGTAAATTAATTTTGCAATATATCTTAGAATGATTCACACCATACCTTTGCTTTACACTGTAGTGTTAAACTATTGTAAAATAGCTCAGTGGTATAATGACACTTTTGATCATCCATGCAGTAGTATACCCTGAACCTTCAAGGTCTTGTTGACCTTTCTACTAGAGTGGGCTACTTGATGTTCCTCTTGTGATAAATTCAATTGTGTATCGTTCATACAAGCAACTCAGGACATGAAAGCAAACAAAGAAACTAAGACGACAGCTGTGAAATGTATTGGTTTGTGGGGATAAACCATAAGACCTTATATTTGACCATAATAACAATTTTTTTGGGAATGGGTTCAATGTTTCTTAACTCGTAGTTGCATTCCATTTGCTCTTCCTTCTAATAAAGGTTTTCCACATTAATTGTTTTTTTCCAGTCTCGTTAGGTAAGCTAGGAATTTCAGGTGGAATTAAATGATTAGGCACCTCAAAATACTATCACTGCATACTATTGATGAGTTTTAGACAAAAATATACATTTTTGCCATTATGCATAAATTATTACCTACTGTATGACTGGTATAAATGTTCAGTTTTAGTTTATACCAAAACAGCATATAAAGCATGTGTATGATGGATTTTGTCAGCATTAGCATATTAATACAATTTGATATATGTAATTAGATACAATTGTAAATGCTTTAACAATGAACATAACAGTGACCACAGAATACTTTAAATCAAAAGTGTTGAAAGAATCTGTTAAATAATGCCAGAAAGAAGTTAAACAAGAGCTCACGTTGGACATACATAAGAATTACAAATCCTCAGAAGTGTTGCCATAACTTTCTTTTAACCATTAACCAATTGGCAAATGATCTTTAAATTGTCATGTTTAGGGATTTCACAGATACTTTAAGACTGATGATATGATGTTCCAGAAGAGCTTTGACCATCTTAACTCCATCAGCCTAACTTCAGGATCAAGAAAAATGAGGAGCAAGTGATATAGGAGTAGCATGATGCCAGGTTAACTCACTGAAGAATCCATAGCTTGCCTTGATTAACCTAACAGTTATATCAGGGTCTACACATAGCAAAATGCTATTGATTAGCGATTAT